AGATACTCCATCTTGTATCTTAGGACCTTGAAGCTCTTTCCCACTTCTCAGCGTCATTGCACTAACATTTTCTTTGGGATTAATTTCTGGTTGGGAAGGAAGCCTTCCTGCGTTAGCCTCTAATTTTTGCAATGAGGTGGCCATTTGAGACATTTGTTTCTCCAAGTTCTGTATGCTAGCTTGAGAAGACTGTGAAGCCTGTGTAAGACCATGCACATTAGTTGCTAAACTTCTTACCATTTCCTCTAAAGACATACCTGACGTAGATGATGATGATTGATTCGGAGGTGGTGTTGGTGTAGAATTTCTCATGATAGGTTGTGATTGTTGCTGGAAGTTTGACTGTTTGTAGCTGAAGTTTGGATGATCCCTCCATCCTGGATTGTAAGTATTCGAATAGGGATCATACCTCCTCTGTCCTTGTCCTGGAAACCCACCCAGAGCATTAACTTGCTCGTTGGGACCATCTTGTAACTTGGGGCATGAATCAGTAAAGTGCCCAAAATTTGAGCAAATGCCAAAAGCCTTGGCAGTTTGTACTTGCCCTACAGCCATTTTACGCACCAAAGAGGTTAAATCAGATATTTGATTTTGTAAATTTAAAATACTTACCTCATTGACATGTCTGGTAGCTGTTTCTGCTCTTTTATTAAACTGCTGAGTAGTTTCAGCCATGGTTGAAATCAAGTCGGTAGCTTGTGCTGGTGTTTTATTCATTAAAGCTCCTCCACTGGCTGAATCTAACTTGTCTCGATCCACCTCTGATAGCCCTTCATAGAAATATTGAAGTAGTAGCTGTTCAGGGATTTGATGTTGAGGACAACTCTTACATAACTCTCCGAATCTTTCCCAATATTCGTACAATGTTTCTCCATGGAGTTGTCGGATTCCACAGATATCTTTCCGAATATTTGCTGCACGATGTGCTGGAAAGAATTTCTCCAAAAATTTCTTCTTCAACTGATTCCATGAAGTGATTGAACCAGCTGGTAAACCATATAACCAGCGCTTGGCTTTGTCTTCCAAAGAGAATGGAAAAGCACGTAGCTGAATTTGCTCTTCAGTGACTCCTGGATAGCTTACCGTTGACCACATAGAATCGAACTCCATCAAGTGCTTATGAGGATCCTCACCTGCAAAACCACGAAATTTAGGTAATAATTGAAGTGTACCTGGTTTTAGCTCAAAACGTGGAGTATTTGCGGGCATGGTTATGCGGAATGTTCGTAAGTTCACATCCGGAGTCGCAAGCTCCTCGAGTTACATCACCCATACTTTCTTCTTCAAATTCTTCCCTTTTCAGAGCTTGTAACTTCTTCTTTTCTTCTTCTTCTTGGCTATCGTCCTCTTGAGATTCAGGTGTAGCACTAAGAAGTAAATCTCTTTTCCTCTTTTCCTTTCGGTTCTGTTTAGCTGTCTTTTCTATCTCAGGATCAAACAATAATCTTTCTGTATTATCAGAACGCACCATAAAATTGAATAAAAATAAAATTAAAAATAAAAATAAAAACAAACTTTTAACAAGAAATAAATCACTTCACCGTGCTCCCCGGCAACGGCGCCAAAATTTGGTGGGTGTCAAACCAACAAAAATAAAAGATTCTACTCCTAACAAATTTAATAGTATAGCAATGAGTAGAGTCGTCTCCTCAGGGAGCAAGGAAATGAAAATATTTCTAATCAAAAGCAAAGTAACTAAATGGGAGAGATTTTCGATTTGTAACTAATGAATAACAAAAATAATTTGCAAACAATAAAAGATACTTTTGGGAAATCAATAATAAGAGCAACTCTAGTCAAAGGAATAATTTCCACCTTGATGTATCCAACTGATCATTGATGCAAAGATTAACTCAACAAATGATGAATATATTAGTTTTCGTTGTTGGAACCTCCTAACAATTCAGTCTTTTTATTTAACTACCAGTAACTAAGAAACCTTCATTAATCACTCTATAGCCAAAAACACTAACTGGAACCTCCTAGGATTCAGTTTTTGACAAGCAAGGACCCAATTCAATTTCTAACAAACAAACCTTGTTTCATTAAAAATTGATTATTTATTCTCATAACACAAGTAAACTACTTACCAAGTAATTATTTGCATTGTCTCTTCTAAGGAACAAACAAACCTTGTTGTTCAATAAATTAGATTATCTAGGAGAATTGAATGCTACCAGCTATTCAAATAATGCCAAATAATCATCAATACACATCAAAGAGAATAAATAAATATTCAAAATTCGTTGGTGAAAAGCAAACAGTTAGATCTCACAATTGAATAACATCAAGGCTTCAATAAAATCCTTTAACTAGAAAAAAGGTTTAGTTGCTAATCATGGTGAACTCAACAACACAAGAATTGATGTTTGACATTACAGAGCAAAAACTGACGAAAACGGAGAGAAATCCTTGTCCTGAGCTCCAGCTGTTGCTCCCTGTGTTGTGCCTCTTCACCTCTCTCAAAATAATAAGAAAAGATCTATTTATATGCAAATTTAGGGCATCCCCACGTTCAGCCCGTCCAAAAATCGCAGCAACCAATTACAATTTTCAGAATTTGTAAATTGGTCACTGAAGTTTGCCAAAATTACAAATTGACCCTAAAACTTTGGAAATTTTGCATTTTAGTCCCTGTTTCAGCGTGCCCACGCGGGAATACAACATTGTTTCTGGAATTTCCTGCTTCCTTCATTGATTTTGGCATGGATTTTGTGTGCCCACGTGGGAATTAACCACTTCTTCTCTAACTTGAAACTTGATTCAATAAAACCTTCAAAATCTCTTCAAAATCAACAATTTTCTTCTTTTTGTTCCAAATCCTTCCTATGATCAAATTAAGAATCAAAACACTAATATTAGTATAGATAATATTCAAAACAACACATAAACTACTACAAATATCATGCTAATATTAACATTATCATTAAGCTTCACCATTATGATGTTCATCATCCCCATGCAAAGCTTGAAGGGGGGATATCAGAAGTAAAGACTGCATTCCAGCAGCTTGATCATGAAGCAGAAGATCATCTTCAGGAGTAGTATGTCGACGTTGACCTTGATGACGAAGTAATGAAGACTATACTTGGCTGCAGCTGATCTAGATTATGTGCATTATAGTGTAGTACCTTCTGCTTTATTTCTTGTACATTTTGAGTCGGTTAGTAGCTGAGCTGGCAGCTTGATAACCACGCAACTATATACTAGACATCTACAAACTGAAAGATGACATATTCATATGAGCTGAATAAAAGTTGTTTTTCTTCACCTTCACTATGTGTTTTCTTCTACTACTGAAACCCTAGCCATTCTCTTCGATTGTTCAGAATAACTTACTTAATCTTTTTTTTAAAAAAATCTCCTTCAATCACATTTACCAACCTCTACGAAAGAGACTTCTAGACTAACCTTTTCCTTCTTTGTTTTTATCTATTTGTTGATTTTTTGTTTGTCTTCTTCATTTTTTTTTTTTGGTATTTTTTAGGCATCGAATTTCCACATAAGTCATGAATAATTCCATTCATTAAATTGTCAGTAATTAACTCAAGGGGTGAAGCCTATAAGCACCATAATTATTGGTTGCTAAAATTGAAAGGCGATTAATGTGTGGGCCGGGTAACCATTTAAAACAAAGAGTAACCATTTAAAAAATGTTGAAGTTTAACATTCTATCAGGAAGCATTGAGTCCACCAATGTGAAAATTTAGCCTCGTTTCCGAGTTTTTTACCCAAATATATTTTCATCTGAGAAGACTGGACGGAGCTATATCTGGTTGGGGAGGTAGTAGACGATGTAAGTGTTTCGGATTTCCCAAATTCAAAACAAAGATGATTTTGGATTTCAAAAATCTGGAAGTAAGGTAAATTCAAATATCAGAAACCCGACAGATGTGTATCTGTTCTTAAGGCTAGATAGGACATTTGGATTTTCTATATCTTACTTCCTAGCATGAATTGAACTCTCAGATATGAGAAATCTTATAGATGTTCTTATATTCAAAAAACTAAAATAAAAATAAAAAAATGAACTTTCTAATTTTAGCTAAAACAGCCAACTTATGCGTGTCATATGTCAGATATCTTTCAATGCAACACATATATATGCACGAAGATAGTGGTTAACTAAAAAATGGAGAGATAGAACTTGTAGTTTATTCAGAAATGTAGATTCAAAAAAAGTCAGCATTCCAAAACATGGAAAAAGATCATAAATGTAAATATTAGGTGGAAAAAGAATGAATAAGGAGCTGCCAGGTATCGTTCCCAGTATTTGCTTTAGGTAATGAAAGAGATTAAACATGTACCAACACTTGCTTGGCCAAAGTAGTAAGGTGTTTTGATTTCGTTAAGTAAGGTTTCGAGTTCGAGTCTCGTGAATGGAAAAAGCATTGTTAGGAGAGATTTTCGTCAGAAAGGAGACCGGCTGGCCCGGCTTGGAGTGAGTTAGTGTGAGTACAATGCACTCAGGGCGCGATATGAAAAAAAAATTAAACGTGAGTCAGTCATTCAGTTAGTGTCACGTTGTGTGTATCCCATAAGTGTAAAAAAAAAATCTTTATTCATTTCAGCCGGTTTATATGCCGACGCAAAAAAATTTAATCAAAATTTACTTCAAATGTGTTGCTTATAAGTAGAACAAGAAAAACCATTATATATAATGTATGCAGATCAATTTACCATAACTATATCTCTGGTACATCAGATCAGATGAATCAGAAGACAGCAAAAAGTCAAAGCCTCGTGCAATTTATAAATAATGTCTCCAAGAAAATGCTATAAATTGCAAACTTGCGCACATGGTTCCATGTTTCAATAATGCAACGTATATAGGCAAGATGATCATAGTTAATTAGAGAGAGAAAGATAGACAGGGTTCAGTTCTTTCAGAAATTTACATTCCAAAAAGTCATCATCCCAAACCATGGAAGAGTACAAGACAGATAATGGAGTTATTTAAATAGATCCGAAGAGAGAGACTTCCTTCTCATTTCGCAATCATGTCTAATCAGCAACTGGAAGATGGGCGACTTTCAAAAGAATTTGATGTTCAAAATCTTGAAGTTGCGGGGAGGAAGATGGCTTTGGAGAGGTTAATGATGAAGAATGGACATGATGATCCGGACGCTGACAACTTCTTGTTAAAGCTCAAGCAACGCATTCAAAGGTAATTACTAATGAGCACAACTTTAATAATTTCCCATCTTTCTCAAATTAATCTGTATGTATGCTCTCGTTTTTCATTTAGATTCATATAAAGATGATACAGAATTGGGTTATTGAAATTGAACAAGCTTGTATAAACACTCCAAAAATAGAGATATGTTTATTCTTAGCCACAGACTCATTGTATCAGTCTATATTTCTGTATTGTTTAAAGTTCTATAAAGCGAACTAATTTATGCCTTGAGGCACAAAGTATTTATATTTAACCACAAGAAGTTTTTTTATGAAGAAAATGACACTATGTGCTTTAATCATTAAAGAGTTTGTTTGAAAAAATGACACTTGACTATCGATCCTTATACATCATGTTATGTTACAAAGATAAATAAGGTAAAGATTCATTTATGTCCCTAACAACCGTAATCATCACCGAATAAGGGTAAATATACAACTAATTAAATAATTTACGCCTTTCATTTTAGAGTAGGGATTGAACTTCCTACGATAGAAGTTCGATTCCAGAACTTAAATGTGGAAGCAGAAGCTTATCTTGGCAGTAGAGCAATGCCAAACATATTCAACTTCTACATGAATGCTTTCGAGGTACGTGAATTCATATTTCTCTATATAAATCTCCATCGATATTTACAAATCCATGGTTTTGTTTCCCTTTCGCATATTAATTATACATATTTCAATTATGTTGCACAAATGCCATTGGATAGGGTTTTTTGAACTCTCTTGGAATCATTTCAAACAAAAAGATTCCGTTTCCCGTTCTTCGTGAAGTCAACGGAATAGTCAGGCCAGGAAGGTAAGAAGAAAGTACATACAAATGGGAACAATATCAAGTTCAGCAATCATCCTATAAATTAAAACATTAAAAAATTTCCTTGTCACGTGGTTGGTTTTCTGCAGATTGACACTACTTCTAGGACCTCCAGCTTCGGGTAAAACCACTTTGCTTTTAGCTTTGGCTGGAAGACTCCCATCTGATCTTAAAGTAATAAAACTCGACAAGTCCCTATATAGCTGGCTGTTAATTATTTTGTTTGGTCTCACTAGAGCATTGATTTTAATAAACGTAACTATTATTATGAGACAGTAAGATGTATGTTCTATACATATTGGTTTCCGGCAAAGTTACGTACAATGGATACGAGACAAGTGAATTTGTGTCACAAAGGTCGTCAGCTTATGTTAGTCAACACGATCTTCATATGGGGGAACTTACAGTAAGAGAAACACTTGCTTTTTCAGCGAGATGCCTAGGCGTTGGAGCTTTCCATGGTCAGCATATCATTTCCCGATATTGTTCTCACTTTCTCTAGTAAAACTTTGCTAAAATTCTTTGAAAGAACATGGAAATGAAGGCTTTTTATTTGATCCATTAAATTTAATACTTATTAATTAATCCAATCGGTCAATCCCTGCAAAATCGAGCTCATTTATGATTTTTATTCACTTGTCATAACATGTGCATCGATCGTAGATACTGCCACTTAAAGTGGTTGACAAATTTACTCTACCCACTCAAAACAACTTTGTAACTATACAATTACATGCTTGAAGTATAGTAGGTTACAAAATTAATTAATTTTGACTCTTCGCTTCAATTATACGAAATTGACAAATTGTTGTAGTTCTTCTTTTTGCCCGAAAAATAAAAAATAAAAAACAATTATTTGAGATGTAAAAAAAAAAAAAAAGTGTAAAGTAATAACTCAATAACTTGATTTGGAATTTCGTAGACATGTTAGTTGAGCTGCTAAGAAGGGAGAAGGAAGCACATATCGATCCCGACCCTGATGTTGATCTTATAATGAAGGTAATGTTTTTTATTGTTAGGGAATGATCATGAGGAACTTGATCGATGAAACCAGTAGATTTTTTGCAAGATTAACTCTAAACCATCCTTTTCCATGTATAAAAAGTACTCCCTCCATCCCATAATTATTGTCCAGTTTAAGATATCATTTTTAGTACAAATTAAACTAAAAGTGAAAAATCAAAGTGGACAATAATTTTGGGACAGATGGAGTAATTGCGAAGGAGTGAAGAAAATGTGACAAAGGAAGGCCTTTTTCTCAACAAGCCGAAGGATAAATATTTAGAATGTTCGCCTTGATTGGAGAATACCACTCAAACTATCTTTACTGCTTCATCAAGTCATAATTATAAAGCACAGTTTAAACTTAATACGATGGGGAAGCAGAAGATTATAATTTTAATGTGATGTGTTTCAAAATACAGGGTATAGCATTCAAAGGCCAAGAAACCAATGTTTTAGTTGATTATGTCATCAAGGTAAGAAGTATAAAAAAAAATTTATCTTAGAATTTAATTTGAACTTCCAAGTTGCTACTTTTATATCTCTTTAGTTCTTTTATCTATTTATATAGATTTTAGGACTTGAAGCTTGTGCTGATACCCTTGTTGGGGATCAAATGATTCGAGGCATTTCCGGAGGAGAGAAAAAGAGACTAACAACGGGTGACAATTATTTAATATAATTGTTCTTGTGTTATTTCCATCGTCTCACTTTAATAGTCTATTTTCGTGAACAAACATACTCAGCTCTTTCGTTGACAAATGATGGTACTGTTTGCTATACTATGTACAAGATACTAGATAATACTTTTGGTATAGGCTGAATAGTTCTATAAATCGGACTATTAAAGTGGGGCGAATGGAATAGAGTATCACATTCATACTAGATGCTTGACAATGATTAATTTTCACAATGCAGGGGAGCTGATGGTTGGGCCAGCAAGAGTTCTCCTAATGGATGAGATCTCAACTGGCTTGGACAGTTCAACAACTTTCCAGATTGTGAATTCAATCCAGCAATCTGTCCATGTTCTTCAGAAAACAGCTGTGATCTCGTTGTTGCAATCGGCCCCCGAAACTTATGAACTGTTTGATGACCTAATTCTTCTGTCCGAAGGGCACATTGTGTATCAAGGTCCTCGGGGAAATGTGGTGGAGTTCTTTGAATCAATGGGATTCAAATGTCCAGATAGGAAAGCAGTTGCTGACTTCTTACAGGAAGTAAGACTTCATCTTACATGCATGCTAAATTTTGACTTTTTTTTTGGATTGTTATTAATATTATTACTCATTTGATTTTGTTGTTTTGAATCCAAAATCTGAAGGTAACATCGAAGAAAGATCAAGAACAGTATTGGACAGGAACAGATGATGATCAACCTTACTCTTTTGTGTCCCCCAAACAATTTGCAAAAGCATTTCAATCCTCTCATATTGGAGAAAACGTATCTTCGGAGCTTTCTATTTGTTTTGATAAATCTAAAAGCCATCCTTCTGCTTTAACTAATGAAAGTTATGGCGTTAGCCAAAAGGAGGCTCTAAGAGCTTGCTTTTCTAGAGAATTCCTTCTTTTGAAGAGAAATTCAATCATATATGCATTCCGGCTTAGCAATGTAAGTTATTGATCTTCGTTTTCTATGTATATAAACTTAATCTTAGTAACCTTGTAAAGAAGTACTTGGCGTATCAATCAATCAATCTTAGTTTGTTTAGTATGACAAATAATTATGCAGGTGATGATTATAGCAGCGATAGCAATGTCAATCTTTCCGAAATCAAAGATGCATAAGGAGTCATTGAGCGATGGCTTGCTGTTCATGGCGCCATTGTTTCTGACTGTGGTTATGATTATGTTTAATGGTTTTGCAGAGCTTCCATTGTCACTTGTAAAGCTTCCTGTATTCTACAAGCAACGCGATCTCCTGTTCTTTCCTGCATGGGCATATGCTCTACCAATTTGGATTTTAACAATTCCTTATGCGATTTTGGAAGCTGGGGTATGGTTGGGTATCACTTACTATCCCATTGGACTTGATCCAGATGTTGGCAGGTGAAAGTATACACATAGCCATTTAGGTTTGAGATTAATGCTCACTCGATTTTCACGAATTTGTTTCAACGAATTGCAGGTTCTTTAGACAATACCTACTGCTTATATTCATTAACCAAAGTGCTTCAGGACTATTTCGCCTTATGGCCGCAGTAGGAAGAGAATTGACAACCGCGAACGTGTATGGATCATATGCATTAGTTATAGTTCTTGTCTTGGGTGGATTCATATTGCCTTATGGTAAAATATATTCATTTCTTTAGTAAACTCAATTCATTTTGCGGTACTCATGCATTCTTATAGCCCTAATGATATTCTGTTTTAACGCATTTTTCTTTCTGTGTCTTGCAGGAGACATAAATAAATGGTCAATTTGGGGATACTGGATTTCCCCTTTGATGTATGCGCAAAATGCTATTTCTGTCAATGAATTTTTTGGGCAAAGTTGGAGTCATGTGAGTCATCATTTTTTATTCATCCATAAGTGGTCTCTGGAATTTCAATAGCCTACCAAACTACATCTTACTAAACAGTTATGGTTTTACAGATATATAACGGATCAACGATGCCATTAGGAGTTTTGGTCTTAAAGAATCGAAGTCTTTTCACTCATGCTAGTTGGTATTGGATTGGAACAATATCACTTATTGGGTTCACAATTCTATTTAATGTCCTCTATACAATTGCACTTACATTTCTTAAGCGTAAGTGTCAAGGCATTTAAAATTCTTCAATGCTATCAGATTGATACGAGAGTTGATGTTGCATATATATATATCTGGATTCTTCAACAAATAAAGCGATCACTTTTATTTTCCAGCACCTAAGCAGGCACAAAGAGCTTTATCTACAGGAGAGGCTATTGATTTGTCATCAACAAGCAAGGGCTCGGGTTTGTTTTTAGCTTGTTCGTATATATTGGTATATTCACAGTTGGAATAACTGATGTTAATACACATAAAATGTGAAAACATACAGAAAGCCAACAACAGGCTCAGACAAGTTTATCATCTAGAGTTCAAAGCTTTGACAAAAATGAGGTTGACAGGAAACGAGGAATGGTTTTACCATTTGCTCCCCTTGTACTCACTTTTGATGACATCAGATATGCAATAAAAATGCCACAAGTAAGTATCTCCAAATTAGATGTGATCTAATGTCTTTTTGGAAGGTTTCGACATGTATAAAATGTCTGAAAGGGTTATGTTTATATATTTACATGATATTCGGCATTCTTTAGGAAATGAAAGCTCAAGGATTCATGGATGACAGACTTGAGCTTCTTAAAGGTGTCAGCGGTTCCTTTAGACCTGGAGTTCTAACAGCTCTTATGGGTGTAAGTGGAGCTGGAAAGACAACTTTGTTGGATGTCTTGGCTGGGAGAAAAACAGGAGGGTACATCGAAGGAACAATTATGGTTTCAGGGTACCCGAAAAAGCAAGAGACTTTTGCACGTGTCGCAGGATATTGTGAACAAAATGATATTCACTCTCCTCATCTTACAGTGTATGAGTCTTTACGATATTCAGCATGGCTTCGATTGCATGCGGAAGTTGATGTAGCAACAAGAGAGGTAATTGGTTAGTCCTTACATCGCATTTAGAGATATACATTTCAGTTTCTTCTCTAAAATATATGTATGACAAAATTCATAAATAGATGTTTGTTGAATAAATAATGGAGCTGGTTGAGTTAACAATGATAAAGGAGGCAATAGTTGGATTGCCGGGAGTAAACGGACTTTCAACTGAGCAACGAAAGAGGGTAACAATCGCAGTTGAGCTCGTAGCTAACCCTTCAATTATATTCATGGATGAACCAACCACAGGACTTGATGCTAGAGCAGCAGCGATTGTGATGAGAACAGTAAGGAATACAGTAGATACAGGTAGAACCGTGGTTTGTACCATACATCAACCTAGTGTCGACATCTTCGATGCTTTTGATGAGGTGAACTTTCGTACTCAATGCATGGAGTACCTTTGCTCTTTTCTGGAATATCAAATGCTTAATGGAATTTCATTAATAAATTGCAGCTGGTGCTTTTGAAAATAGGAGGTGACCAAATGTATGGTGGTCCATTAGGCCGCCATTGTTCAGAACTAATTAAGTATTTTGAGGTGAGAACAATGTACGCATGAATTCTGTTGCAATTTCCACTTTCAACCATGTATGTTTCCAAATTCATGTATGTTTTTATCATTTTCTAACTCTTTTATTCTTTCTTTTTCTTCAGGGAATCAATGGAGTACAAAAATTTATAATTGGCCGAAACCCTGCCACTTGGGTGATGGAAGTATCTTCAATTGCACAAGAGGAAGCCCTAGGAGTTGATTTCGCTGCTATATACAGAAGTTCAAAAGAGTACAGGTACGAACTGGTTCATTAACCGTGCACATTTATATCATCGCCTTTTAGCTTTAGGTTTCTCTAAATGGTCACTTTATCTAAGAACAAAACAGTATACATTTTTGCAATATATTTCGTCCATCCCGAAATAATTGTTGTGTTTTGAGATTTTATTTTTAGCACAAATTGTACAAGAAATAAAATCTAAGTTGTACAACATTTTATGACATAGGGAGTAATATTTGTGTTTGGACTCTTTTAAGTGTGAAAATAACTACCAATTGAGATTTTTTGTGGGCATCCAGGGAAAATAAAGCATGATTATGGAACTAAGCATCCCGGCAATAGGCTCTCAAGATCTATACTTCTCTACCCCTTATTCACAGTCATTATCCAATCAGTTTATTGCTTGCTTATGGAAACAACACTTGTCATACTGGCGAAACACGACATATACGGCCATCAGATTATTACTAACAACGGCCATAGCTTTGATGTTTGGCATATTGTTTTGGCAAATCGGCACCAAAAGGTATATATATATCTAATTTTCTCACCCAAGAACAAGGTGGAAATTGTTGACTTAAATTTCCTTTATTCTCATATTTGGTTTTCCTCCACAGAAGAAAACTCCAGGATTTGCTTAATGCAATGGGTTCCATGTATGCTGCTATTTTATTTATTGGTATATCCAATACAAGCTTGGTTCAACCTGTGGTTGACATTGAGAGAACTGTATTTTATCGGGAAAGAGCAGCTGGAATGTATTCAGCTCTACCATATGCCATTGCACAGGTATATTTACATAACACTGAAGACAAACTAAGTTCATAGACAAATGTTTTTTTCTTAAGTCCGATTCGAGTTTTGATTTTACACTTTCTGGTGATGATATTTTTTTGTCTAAGATTATTGAAGTTCAAAGAACGAGGACAGTGATTTAGGAATGCATCTTTGTTACACAGAACATTTTATAGTTACTGCTTAGGATATGGGTTTCACTAATATCCTAAGTACAAAACTTTTTGGCAGGTTGCGATCGAGCTGCCGCATGTTCTGGTTCAAACATTGATATATTCAGTCATTGTATATGTGATGATTGGGTTTGAATGGACGTCTCGCAAGTTCTTTTGGTATTTATTCATCATGTATTTCACATTTCTCTACTTTACAGCTTATGGGATGATGTCGGTTGCACTTACACCAAATCAAGGCTTTGCTGCAATTTTCTCATCTTCTTTTAATGCACTGTGGAACCTTTTTGCTGGATTCATAGTTCCTAAATCGGTAAGTTTTTATTATGTTTTCCGTTTACACATTTTTCGATCCAAGCCATGTTGAGCCAAAAGTATGATGGCTCCTTCTCTTTTTAATGACAGAGAATACCGATCTGGTGGCGATGGTACTATTACATTTGCCCTTTTGCTTGGACATTGAATGGTTTGCTTTCTTCTCAGTTTGGAGACATCAAAGATGTGATGATAGACACAAATCAAACTGTGGAAGACTTTTTAAGTAGTTTTTTCGGATTTAGGAGTGACTTTCTAGGTTTTGTGGCAATTATTATTGTCGGGACAACCATGTTTTTCACCTTCATATTTGCCTTCTCAATCAAGAATTTAAACTTCCAGAAAAGATAACATTACATTTGTGAAGCCAAATAGGCGTATGTCCCACTATCCTTTCCCCATTTTTGTGTATTTTGTTTTAAGAGAATTCTCGACCGGGATGAATGCTACTCCCTCCATTCCAAAATATGTGTCGTTTTGACAAAATAGAGAAATTTCAAAATAAGTGTCGTTTTCGGATTCCAATGCATTTTTGTCAAAAATTTCCAAACATACCCTCAAAAAAAATAATATTATTGGTGAACATTTATTTTAATAGGGTTTGTTAAGGATATTCTAGTAATTTAGTTACCCTATTTAATGTTTTCTTAAACTGTGTGCAAATTCTAGAATGACACTTATTTTGGAACGGAGAGAGTATTCTGGAAGCTCGTTGTTTTAGCGCTCCATGTGGTTTGCCTATAGGAGCCAATTTTTTCTTTAAAAAAAAAAAAACAAAAATTCAACTTAATGGTTGTTGCAAGGGTTTCGAAGTTTACCTTCAGTTTAAGGGTTTCCGTGACAGCACTTTTTTGGTCACTCACAATCATCACTCAATTTCACCACAAATGTTACACCTTTTCTTATTTCGTTGCAAATGGCAGCCGCTGCTCCGTTAGAATAAGTGATAATCAAAGAGAACTCATTAAGTATGATAATTTGAGAATTAGGGTGTGGACTGATAATCTTATGGAAACCCACGATTTCGGCCATTAATTAAGATTTCAAATTTAAAAACTAAATGTATAAACTAAATCATTAATATATGTTAGTCATTGTATAACAATTTACAAGCATTTAATGATTGCGTGACCCTTGCATGATTGTCCCAAAAACATTAAAAAGTAGTATGTCTTACCTTGAAGGGTTTTTTTTTCCATACACTCTATCAATTTAATTAATAAAATATTTTCTTTTTTATGAATCATAAATTTTTAAAAAGATATACTATTAACGTTGTGCAACGCTTGTGCACAATAATATCCTAAATAAAACCCTGAAAGAGTCTAACGACATCTTAAAATTTTATTGATTTCCTTTTCATTTTCAGTTTTGAAGCAGAATTATATAATATAGAGAGGGTTGATAATGTTTTCAAACCCTTGATTTTGACTATTGAAAAAAGGGGGAAATCGATCTGAGTCAATGTTAAAGACATTTGAAATAAATCCTTAGGAATACTAGCACACGTTTTGGGATAAATTCTGCAACCTTTACATTTGCCATATATAATTAATTCATAAAGAAACTGTGCTGATTTCAAGTACAAGAGGAGATGATCTTCAGATTCCATTGTTTCACCCTATTTTTTTTTCTCGGAATGATCCTCAAAAGATTTTATTACAACCACAAAATCTATGGTGCTAGCAATTTGAAGATGCTTCACCAAGTTCCGGTGCCCCGGTACATCAACGAACAAAAAACGCTGAAATTGGTCGCGCAAGGGAAAAAATCAAGCAGAATTTTTGCTTGTCCGAGCCTTTAGGTGCAAAATGTCGCAGTTCAAATGCATAAGTTGGATCAATTCGTAGAGAATTGCATCTTGAAGATAAATTTTTTGTATTATTAAAAAAAATAAAAGGAATTCTTTCATTAAAATGGCTGGAAAATGTCCTAGACTAAAATTTGGGAGTGTAAACCACTAGATTTCTTCGGGAACACCAAGCTAGTAAACTCTTGTAATGGAATTAAAGTTTGAAATCTTCCCTTTTTATCATCTTCGTGCTATCTCCTAAGTGTTCTACAAGTTCTTAATTAGTAGCAAGTTTGAAGTTTTTAATTATCTTTTCATTAGGATATTAAAAATTTTATAACACCAGCCTTATTGAAATAATATAAATAGACACTCATTTTCCAAAGTTTTACACACCTTTCCTCCCATCTCTTCTCAGCTTTCTTTCGAGCCTTCTTTCATTTCTTTCCCGGTGTTCATCACTTGTTCTAAGTTCCAGTTTGATTGTAGAGTTGCTTTGTGCTAAGCAGGCTCTACGTTTCCGTTGTATCCTGGGAAACAATTGCTCGAGATCCTCTAGCACCTTAGGAGGGGGCAATTCTATTTTAAGGAGATCATGTTTTCACAAGTCTCGAATTTCTTCTTCTTCCATTTTTCCTTAGCCTTTGGAAATAGTCTTCATATTTTTTCCAACAACTGATTCTACCTTCTTGGTTGTTTCGAACTTACCCTTATCCACCTTCCTGAGAATTCCAAACACTAAACTCCCCTCCATCTTCTTGCAATTATATTCACGCATGCTAATGATTTCTGACTACAAAGTTTCGATTTGCTTGGAGGCTAAGCACACATCCCTCTCCATTATGCGCTTCTTGTGGTGCCTCAACTAGGCATACCTCTTCCATTTTTCTTATTTTCTTAGCACTTAACCAAACCTCCTCCGCATGTTTGTCATTTGTTGGCATTCAACTATGAGTGCATCTACTATTTTCATCTTTATTATTTTCTGAACTCCTACTTGTGCGTCATCCTCCATCTTTCTTATGTTTACTCCACGTCTATATTTCAACGTCTTGTTCCAATTTTTCTTAGGGTTGCACTTTATTGGGCATCATTCCCCAGCTGGTATTTACATGACCCTTACATGAACATTGATGGGTCTTGATTTATCACGGCATACATCATATCTAAGAGTCAGGTGGCCTAAAGGTAAAACATGAGGCTATGTTAAATTAGTAAAAGAAGCACTATTTTATTTTCTATAAAAGTGAACCATATATGATGAGATTTTGATTGCTTCTACACTAAATCTGCAACCAAGGGATCATAACTGTCAAATCTCTAAGATATTTAGGTGGACTAAGATTGACGATGCTTGGATATGCGCCGCCGGTTTAACGGTGGAACTCCGGTTAGGGTTTCCTGCAAAACAGAGCATCGGGGACTCCCGAGGGTAGACGCTCCGATGCTTAAGTCAATAAAGAAGGTTGCTAGAAGGTGTAGAAAGGTAGTTTGTTCGGCTATAGATTGCGTACCTGAATTGTGGTATGAGCTACCCTATTTATAGGTATGAGATTACCTAGACAATTCCCGAATCCAACTAGGTTTTAGGAATTACACCGCCCTAAGAGTTCCAGTTGGACTCTTCCTACGGTGGGTGGGCCGGAACAGTCTCGGTGATGGACCTGGACTCGTCAAGTGCCCCTGTCAAGTGTTAGTGACGTAGAAACAAACAACGTTTGGCATAAAATAAGCATTACCTAGGACACGCTCGAGAATGGACAGACCGCCCTCGTTCAGCCAATTGTCGAGGCATATGCCGAACGAGCTCGATGCTAACGCATGAACCCCGATCTCGGAGGATCGAGAGGAACCGGTGGGTCAGGTCGTGACCCGGGAAGATGACCCGCTTCCCAATCCCGCTCAAATTTTCAATTGTGCGTTATTAGTGGGCACGTTTCCCAAACCGTAGCCTCAACATCATTACTTCCTTGAAGCCCGCAATAACTGTCAAATCGTGGTCCATAATTAGGGAAATGTAGGAGAATCAACTTTGCTTTTAAAAGAGAAAACTCTACCGTCCCTGGACACTTAATCAATTTCCTTCTCTGCAAAAACACAGAATCCTCTCCTTTGCAAAAAGTATTCTAGCCACCATTCTGCTCTTCTTTTCCAAAGCATCCTAATTCCTTTCCCGGCCGGAATTTTCAAGATTTTACCTGATACACTGCCCCGGTAACGCCGTTCTTCTGTGTTCTTTCTATTTGGTTTGATGTGAGTGCCTTATATTCCTCTGGTGAAACAGGAGAGCTGGATCGTTCACCGCGTTCACCACATGGTGTTGTCAGAGGAGCAATCGAGGGAGTTCCTGTTATATTCCATGATAAGCGGGATTCTGAGAAGTCGTGCGGATGTGCACAGCCTCGAGACTGTGGCGCATTTGGAGAATGACCTGCTCGACGCTATGAGGATGCACAATGTGAAGGTTAACCAACATCTGATAAATGAGATCAAAGGACTCCGTGAGGAGATGCAGCGTCGAGAGGTTCAAAGCCTGAAAGACCACAGTGATTCTCTGACTTTCGAGGCCAACATCCATGACGAACTGGTGACCATGGAGAAGGAAAATGCTCGGCTTAGGGCAAGACAGCATATTACTGTGTCTCCCTGGTTTCTCGAGAAGCACCAGGTGTTAGCCCGAGTCCAGCACATGATTACGGTCAGGACTCGCCGTTTTATCGCGGCCATAGATATACTGAAAGAGAGGTCTCGTGAGATCGAGCTTCTTACAGATTATATTGCTCGACTGCAAAATCTTCTGCTGGATAACAATATCGACTTTGAGGCTTTCGAGCGTCCGGAGGAGACAGTGAATCCTCGAACTCGGAGTTCTCGAGAGGAACTTTTGATGAGGGTGCACGCTCAGGACACAGAGATCGTGGAACTTAAGGACAAATTGAATCAGTGTGTGAATCTCCTTAGCCTGCAGGGGTATAAGGGGATTATCCATCCCTCCCCTGACAATCCTATCAGGGAGGTGCTTATAATAGTGTAGAATATATGTACTTGTCTTGAGAGTTCACACAGTAGTGTGGAACGAATGTTTGTTTTACTCGAGTATTAATTTTTAAAGCGCTTTTTAGGCCGGATGTAGAGTACATGGCTTTATCATAGGAATTGGGTACGAATTCCTTGACTTGACACTGCGTTTCGCAATGTGTGAGGAAAGTTCATCGAGTTTGTGTCCGGATGTTGAGTACACAGCTCTTGAACGAGGATGGCCCTAAAGAGGGAGTCCATCTCGATGACTAGTCATGAATGCATTGCTATTAATGAAAAGAATATATAATGTCTTTTATTGAATAATTTCCCGAGGACCCGGGTTAGCATTGCATATGAGAGTATGTAACCAACTGGGTAAATAAAGTAAATAAAACACATAATGGGCAGACAGCGGACAAAGACTTAAACATAGAACCTGCAAAGATTATGAACGTTCCACCATCGAGGAAGAATGGTTCTGCTATCATCCATGGCCTGTAGGCGGTAGCAGCCTGCTGGGGAAGTCTGGATAACCTTGTAAGGTCCTTCCCAATTTGCAGTAAGTTTTTCAGGGGTTTCCGCTTGGCTGGCCTCGTTTTTCCTCAGAACGAGATCACCCACAGCGAGATCCGTGGCTTTCACCTTCTTGTTGTAATGCCTGCGAAGAACCTCTTTATATTTGGCCTCTCGGATTCTGACGGCGTCTCGACGTTCCTCGAGCAAGTCAAGGTTTAGCCGGATGTCATCATCATTGGTACTCTCGACAAAGTTTATGGTTCGAGGACTCGACAGGCCGATCTCGACGGGGAGGACGGCGTCCATATCGTATACTAAGCTATACGGTGTCTCGTCGGTCGAGGAGTGGGCAGTTGTCCGGTATGACCACAGGACGTGAGAAAGTTCGTCAGTCCATGCCCCCTTGGCGTCATACAACCTGGTCTTGATTCCATGCAATATTGTTCTGTTGATGGACTCGGCCTGCCCATTGGCTTGGGGATGAGCTACGCTCGAGAAGCGGCGTTCGATCTGCATCTCTTCGCACCATGACTTGAAAGGATTGCTCTTGAACTGGGTCCCATTATCGGAGACGATAACCTTCGGGACCCCAAAACGGCATACTATATTCTGCCAGAAAAAATCCAAGACTTTCCTCCTTGTGATCGAGGCCAGGAGTTTGGCTTCTACCCATTTAGTGAAGTAATCTACTGCTACAATGACCCATCTCACTCCTCCTACTCCTTCCGGATGAAAGGGGCCGATAATATCAGTGCCCCATTGATAGAATGGTCAAGGGCTTTGGATGGTGACCATCTCGTGCTGTGGCTGTCGGGTGATGGGAGAGAAGCGCTGGCACTTTTCACATTTTTGTACCCATTGGTAGGCGTCTTTGAAAATTGTCGGCCAGAAATATACTGCCTCCAAGACCTTCTTGGCGAGTACTCTTGCTCCCATATGAGCTCCACATGATCCTTCGTGTATTTCTTCGAGTACGTAAGCAGCTTGCTTTGGACCAATACACCTTAGCATAGGTAGCAGGTATCCATGCTTGTATAGGATGCCATCTCGCAATGTGTATTTGACCGCCTTTAACCGGAGGGTTCTGGCTTCTGCTTTTCCACTCGGCAATGTCCCATCTGTAAGATATTGGATAAAAAGGGTCATCCAAGTGTCGCCGTCCTCGATGATGGTCGCTACAGGGACGTCTTGGATGCTAGGATTGGGGAGAATTTCGACCCATACTTTGTGGCTAAGGTGTGCAAAGTTCAAGGAGGCTAGTTTGCTGAGGGCGTCGGCTCTTTTGTTTTTCGAGCGGACTATGTGGCACACGGTGCATTCCTCGAATTTGCCCTTGATGTCGAGGACCTTCTCAAGGTAGCGCTTGAGTTGCTCGTCGTTTGCCGTGTATTCTCCCAATATTTGTTTCACCACCACTTGAGAATCACTGAAAACTTAGATTTTGCGGACCCCAAGTTTTAGTTCCATGTTCAGCCCTACTATCAGTGCCTCGTATTCTGCCACATTGTTGGTGACCGAGAAACCGAACCTCAGCGCGTATGTATATTCTGTGTCGTACTCTTTCATGTTCTCGATGTCGGGATGAGCTGGAGGTTTGGATAATATGATGCCGGCTCCTCCCCCTTCATCGCAACGAGACCCGTCGATGTATAGCGACCAAGCTCCAGGGTTGACATGGGCACGAGTGGTGGGATCGTCTTTAGGCTCCGCCATTTCTTTGGCTTCGATAGCTCGAGGCGTCTCTACTAAGAAATCTGCAAAGGCTTGCCCCTTGATGGCTGATCGAGGCTTGTATTCAATGTGGTGCTCGCCTAATTTGACTGCCCATTTCATCATCCTGCCGAACGCTTCTAGATTTAGCAGGACTTGCTAAATTGGTTGTTCTGTTAAAACCATGATGGGGTGTGCTTGGAAGTATGGGACCAGACGTCGTGCGGCTAATATTAGGCTGAGGATAAGCCTTTCCATGGGTGTGTAACGGGTTTCCGCCACTTGCAGGACTTTGCTAACAAAATAGATGGGGACTTCTCTGCCGTCTTTGCGCTGCACGAGAACCGCCAAGACAGCTTTCTCTAGGGCTGCTAGGTAAATGTATAGTGTTTCTCCTAGCTCAGGCTTGGCTAGTGTGGGCAACTGCTTGAGGTGTTCTTTTAGGTCTTGGAAGGCTTTCTGGCATTCTTCATTCCACTCGAATTTTCTGCCTTTGCGGAGGGTATGGAAAAATGGAAGGCTTCTTTCTGCAGTTCGAGATAGAAACCTGTTTAGGGCCGCCATGGAGCCTGTGAGTTTTTGAACTTCCTTAACAATTTTTGGAGCTTCCATGGCTGAGATAGCCTCAATTTTAGCCGGATCAACACGTATTCCATCCTTGGAGACTTGGTACCCTAGGAATTTTCCTGATCCTACACAGAAGGTGCATTTTTTAGGGTTCAGCTTCATGTTAATCTTGCGTAATATTGTGAAAATCTCCCGCATATCTGCGGCCATTTGCATATCCTTATTGGTCTTTATCACCATGTCGTCTACGTAAATCTCGATGTTTCGGCCGATCTGGTCATGAAAGGTTCTGTTCACGAGACGCTAGTATGTGGCTCCCGCATTTTTCAGTCCAAAGGGCATCTTGTCGTAGCAATATACCCCCATCTCGGTGATGTATGCTGTCTTTTCTGCATCTTCCTGTGCCATGAGGATTTGATGATATCCCTTGTAGGCGTCAAGGAAGCTGAGGACTCTGTACCCGGCAATACCCTCCACCATTTGATCTATGACTGGTAGAGGGTAGCAGTCCTTAGGGCAATGTTTGTTGAGGTCTGTGTAGTCTTGGCACATATGCCAGGAGTTGTCGGGTTTTTGTATTAAAACCGGATTGGCTAACCAACTAGGCCGTAAATCTTCCCAGAGTATGTTGGCACGGACTAGCTTCATTGTTTCCTCGTTGATGACATCGTTACGTTCTCGAGCAAATACCCTTTTCTTCTGTTGTACTAGTTTGACATTTGGATCAACATTTAACCTATGTTCCATGACTTCTCGAGGGACTCCTGTCATGTCCGCTAGGGACCAGGCGAATATGTCTTGGAACTCTCGTAGCAAGGTGCTGATCTCGGCTAGCAAGGGGTCTTGGAGAGAAACCCCAATTTGGATAGTCTTGGCGGGATCAGTCTCACTCAGGATTAATTCTCGCATCTTGCTGCTAAACGAGGGAAGGCCGGATGTCTCGGTGTCTTCTACCTCTGGTGGGTTGACCGTTCCTCGAATCGAGTAGCATTCTGATTCGGCGGACCCTGGGTTAAGGTGTGCGGTCTTCTTTCCGATTTTAACTGCAGTGAGCAAGCATTCTCGAGAACTCCGCTGGCATCCTTTCACTACTCCTACTCCATATTCCGTTGGGAATTTCATTACCAAGTGATAGGGAGACCATATCGCGCGTGCCTGGCACATCCAAGGTCACCCTAGAATCACATTGAACGGCGAGGGTGCATCTATTAGGTCAAAATCCATGGTTAAAGTGACTGTCCTAGGATGCGACCCTACCGAGATGGGTAGGCTAATTATTCCTGTGGGGATAATGGTGTGTCCTGAGAATCCCATCAGTGGCATTGTAGCTGGGCGGATGCAAGGGTTTTTGATATTCATTTTCTTGAAGCAATCACTATATATGATATCGACCGCGCTGCCGTTGTCCACGTAAACCCTTCCGACTTTTACGTTTGCAATTATTGCTTCTATGACCATAGCGTCACTGTGGGGACAAATGTCTGGGACCACATCGCTATCTGTGAATACAATGGCCTCCGTTCCCTTGAACCTCTTGTGGCTAGGCTCTTGTCGAGGGGTTTTGGTGACAGTTCGCAATGAGTTCTTCATGGCTGTCGTGGGTAAAACTTCGAGGGGAGCCCCGTAAATAGCTCCTACTTGGTGAGTGATTAGCTTTGTTGGATTCGCCAGGGGGAGTTGTTGCAATGGCTGTGGCGTTGCTTCGGTGATGGGATAGTGCTGTTGTTGGGCATTGGCTCTCGGTTGCCAATTATTTCCTCATCCATCCCGCCGTGGTGGGTCTCTGAAATTTCTTTTAGGGTGATCTCGTGACTGGGGTCTGTTATTCTTCTGCCGGGAGGCTGTTCCTTGCACATATTGCTGAAACTTCCCAGATTTGACCCCGTTCTCGATTTCACGCTTGAGCTCTCGACAATTTTCCGTGTCGTGGCCGTGATCTTTGTGATATTCACAGTATTGTTCGGTTGATCTGTTTGGATTAGGGGCCAAGGGTTTCGGTGTTGGCAATTCCTCCCTATAGATTTGGAGGATTTCTCGTCGGAGCTTAGTCAAGAGTGTTAATTGCCTATCCATCTTGGGCAGTGCTGGTTTGCTTTCCTGGGGGATTCTTGGCTTATCTTTTGGTCCTACCAAGGCGAAGGATTCTTGGGACCTCTTGAGTGTGTGTTCTCGCTGTATATGGTTCTCGACAATAGCCCACCTCTCCTGAGCATTCCTAGG